TAAGAACCGTAGACGGAGCATGGAGAAGAGCCAATAAACACTCTCAAATGTTTAAGAGAACTGCTGATGATGAGGTTTCTATGAAAAGTATTATGCATAAAATATTATCCAATATGTAATTTATAAAGTTCGATCTATTTCGACCATATATACCGCTTTAGAGAAAGATGTTGTTAAGGAGAACCATTAATTCATATATTATTATCCTTAACTAATGTCAATCATCCTAAGTTGGTAGATGTGATGTTATGAAGCTTGCTTGTGTTTATTATTATAGCTATTCCGATCGAATCCGTTGTAATTGTCTAGAGAACAAGTATCTCAACCTCTTGTAATTATTTATTCCTAACCTATGAATAAGATCATATGCTCAATTAATAAAAACCAAGCAAACACATTACTATGATGATAATGTTGTATGTAGTTTAGAACAAGATAACGGACATAGGACTACAACACTTCACGGTAACGCACATTCGCAAACAAAAATGAAAGCATTAAGTAACGCACAAAGAATTATTTACATAGTTCAAAGAAATGTTCATATTCTGCGTTCGTGTAATAGTCATTTACTAAAGGTTCGTAAAGATTAGATTAGTCAACTGCAATACGATGTCGCTTCTAGAGCAATAATGAAGAAAACTTATTATGCATGCAAGACTTCTCACTCAAATGCTATTGGAGCTTGTTTCCACAGCTTGTTATACTTTCTTCGAGATCTTCTACAAAGACTTGATCGCAACCCTATTTCACATCAGAAGTGCACACAACTTTTGAATAGCTTTCATAACATAGCTAGACTACTCATGGTACATATATATTCCAAGGTAGCATCCTGAATCCAGCTTCAAGAACTTCATGATATGTAAGGATAATATCTGTTAATGGGTATTTTATGGTTATATTTGTAAATGGGCTTAGATCTTGTTATTGGGTTGTGTATATATAGTTTTTTTTGAAACAGGGTTGTGCATAGTTGACCTATGTAATTATCTATATATAGTGTTGTCAATCAATGAAAAAGGCAGAATCAGTTTTCCAAAAATTTTATATATGTGTGTGGCGTGAACTCTCATTCTTCGCAGTGTGTGTGTATATATATATATATATATATATATATATATAGATTTTGGTTTTGGTGAGAATGCAATCTTAGGAGAGAAATGAGAATGAATCTGGTGCTTTAGATTGTGAGATCTAAGGGTCAAGATTTCATCAAAATTAGATGCACCAAAATGGTGCGAAAATGCATCACGTCAAAATGCACCATAAACCTTCGAGAATGCACTATCTCAAAATCTGAGCGCAGAATGCAATCTGAGCCGCACGATGCATCAGATCTGACGGCTAGATTTTATTCTCATTTCTTTCCACAAGGTGCATTCTCACGGGAACCGGTCCCTATATATATATATACATATATATATATATATATATATATATACATACTACTCCGTCCTACTCTCTATGTCCACTTTTGACTTTTGGAACTGTTCATCTAAGCACTTTGACTCATCAAATTCTCTCAATGTGTAAGCCTAAATATAGTCATGTGTGATCTTGTTTGATTTGTCTTAACATATAGATTATTAATATTTAATTTTTATAATTTTTTAATATACAAATTACAAGATAAAATGGATTAAAGAAGTGCATCGGATGGTGTGCAAAAGTGAAAGTGGACGAATACTCTGGGACGTAGGTAGTATATATATATATATATATATATATATATATATATATATATATATATATATATATATATATATATATATATATAGGGGCCGGTTCACGTGAGAATGCACATTGGTGAAAGAAATAAGAATAAAATCTAGTCTTTGGGTTTGATGCATCGTGCGGCTCAGATTGCACCCTGTGCTCAGATTTTGAGATAGTGTATTTTCAAAGGATTTTGGTGCATTTCAAACCATTTTGGTGCACCTAATTTTTTTGTTGCTTCCTTTTCTTTTCTTATTTTTGTTTCTTAATTGTTTTAGTTTAATTATTTAAATTAAATTAAGTGTTAAAAAAATATTAATGAACAATGCATTTTTCTTCTAAAAATGTATTGTGTTATGCACTATTATTGTACGGAGTATTTCTTAGTCTCTTGCTATTGTAATTCTAATTTAAGTTTTATATTTTAATGAAATATTCTATTATTATAATCTTTTATAAAATGTTCAATTATTTTATCATTTTAACAGTTTTAGTTTATTTATTTGAATTAAAATAAGTGTTATAAAATAAAAGTCAAAAATGAAGGGGAAAAGATGAAGGCATTTCCTTGGAAGGAAAATGGAACGAAAGTAAAAGCTGACATTGCGCTGAGTTGGAAGAAGGGGTAAAGAGGAAGGGGGAGGACACACCCCATAGCCTAATTTCTTAGAGAAGTTGCCTCATGTAAATTAAGTTATTACAAAGAAAAGAACTCCCGTAGTTACCTGAATTCGGCTAAAATCAATGAGCTTACATCTCGTTGAACCAGTTTAACTATCATGCGGAGATCTTAAAAGTATAATTGGTGGTGGCGTTATGCCTCAAAGTCCCAACTCCCGTCTGTCTAATTTCCCCTCTCCCCCTCTCCGAGCCAAATTGGCAAAACCATTACAAACAGAATTAGTATAAGTAGATTTTTTTTTTTTTTGAGGATGAATCCGTAGAAATTAAACATAAAGAAATAAAATAATTCTCTGTTCTGCAACCAGAAGCTCTCTCTCTCTCATGGCGGTATTTGCTTTCTCCCTATATCTCTTTTTCTCTGTTATATATGTGTGTTGTTTCCGTTTTTCATTTGATTCGATCCAGCTCCGCGTCCACCAGCATGATATTTGCTTTTAATCTCGATTTTTTTTAGATTTCTACAATCACTTTCGTTCGCTCTTTCATGATTCCTTTCACCAGCTTTCCAGTTTTACTTCTCTTTTTTAAAATGCAAAGGAAAAGCTAATCGCAGGTCACGTTCGCCCAAATGGTTTGAATCAGTTTCGAAGTTGTGATAATCTCTATAGATTCCGTCCGGATGTTTCTTAAATCTTATGTGCATTCATTTTGTGATTAAAATTTCACTTCATAATTATGAAACTGGAAATTTGATTTTCACAGATTCTCGAGTTTTCTTAATGTTTGGACTGAATCTAGTAATGAATACATTTTGAGCTTTTTTTATATATATTTTTTAATAATAAAATCCCTTTTTCTAAATTTAAAATTGTATGAATTTGCACTGGAAGTGCAGATTTCGACCGGATCCTGTAACGAATATAGCCATTGAATCCAGTAACTGTTGTACTAAGGGATGAATTTGAATTAGGGTGTATTTATAATGGTTGATTTCTCAGTTCTATTCAGCAGTCATTTTGAACATTTCTCTGTTTGTTCATATATATAAATAATGTTTGTTTCTCTTGTGTGTTGAGCTTTGTTTGGATTGAGCTCTCATTTGTTATTTGCACAAAAGTTTGTATGCATATACAATTGTGGTCATCTTGATTCTATATGGTGGCTACTGTATAGTATTTGCTTCTTCTTCTCCATTACAGAAGTAAGATCTGGCAGCTGCAAGTTTTAACTTTTGGTTTGAAGTCAATATTAAGAAGTATAATCATAAAAATGATATGTGGGTGTAGGAAAAAGGGCGAGCATTGCCAAAGTTTGGGGAGTGGGATGTGAACGATCCAGCATCCGCCGAGGGGTTCACCGTGATTTTCAGCAAAGCTAGAAATGAGAAAAGGTCACAGGGTCCCAAGCCTGCAGAGTGTCCATCAAAGAGAGGTTCTGCACATAATGAACGCGGAGAAGCTACTCTTGGAAAGCCTCAATCGGTGAGTTGTTTCCTATTCTTTGCTTGCCCCTTTTGTATATACATTACATTGTTTCAAGCACTATGATACAATTGGTGGTGGGGTGGGGGCAAATTGGCCAGGATTGGTTGAATGTCTCGATTCTTTTGAAACTGTGGCTGGTTACTTGAATTTATCAACTCAATCAAAAGCTCAAGCTTGTGGTTATAGGCCCAGGAAAATTTTATACTATTAACACTTGTGTGTCCTATAAAGGGTTCTCCCTTCCCTTTTCGGTGGAGAATTGTGTGTTCTCTTTGCATAAATCTAAATGATACAATTTCATGTTTTTTTAATAACTGAACAATTGTGGAGCCTTATTTCGGAACAAAGGGTCATGGAATGAATGTACATGTCTGCAAAGATAGCACTCTATCTTCTTATATCAATTCCCTTGAATGATTATAAATATACAATTGAGTGTTTGAGCAATCCAAGTTTTTGATGGATTAAATTCAAACATATTAATTATTGTAGTAATAATGTTGTGTAGAAGAAATGGTTTTGCTGCATGCATTCTTCTTCTCCTGCCGAATGAGATGAAGATCGGACGCACTCTCCTCCTCCACAAGACAACGGATCGGAGCTCTAACTAAGCAGTGATGAGTTTTTCATTGCTGCATTTTTGTTTTCATTTTGCTGAGAGAGATGTGAGTGTATGAGTGCAAGTTTTGTGTTGCCCCCCTGCTTTTTTCTGTGATTACATTGAGGTCATGCCATGGTAATCTCTATGCTTTTCCATAATGGATACTATACTAGTACCTCCCTTCCAAAATATTTGTCCAGTTTGACAATTTAGACAAACTTTAATCATTAATTAAATAAAAATGGTACAATATATTAATACACACACAACCTCATTAATTTATCGTGCAAATAACTTTCACAAAACTATACTACAGCTTTTATTTAATAGATGATTAAAGTTTGTTTAAGTTTCTCCCCTGGCTTGAGTGGTAGCAAGCCCACTCCCCAGGATTCATGGGGAAGTTCATCCAGGTTCGAGCCCCAGCGAAGGCAGCAGCATTGACTCTTTGTGCGTCATTAGTCATTAGCTTGAGAATAGTATGAACAGATACTACCTTGTAATAGAGTCAATAGCATTCAAAAAAAAAAAATTAGCTGAAAAATATTATATTCGATGAATACTCTGGGATGGAGAAAACATTTACCTGCCATAGTTTATATTTACCAGAGTATCATACTAGTGACCCATCCCGATAACCATCCTCGACGTACCCCAAATATTGTATCTCAAAATATAACTCAAAAGTTTAAACTTACATTTTGATGACTTACATTGTCACAAAATATCAATGCGATCACAAAGTTTCGCTTTGACATTTTATGTCAATCTAAGTCATTAATCTCGCACTTACATTGATACAAAATGTAAGTGTAAATCTTTGAGGTATTTTGGGATACAAGTATATCTAGTTGAAAAGGTTAAATAGAAAGGTAGACGAAAAGGTAGAAAGTTTAACTTTTGATATCATCCCTGCCACACATGGCTGGCTTAAATGTAATTCTAACCATTAGCAACTAATAAATTAAAGAATTATAATGTCTTAAACACCCATGTGTGTGTTTAGCTTTTAGTCTATCTAGAAAATGGTTTTTTTAAGGGTGGTTTATTTTGGTTGGAAAAAATGAGAAGAAACTAAAAGGCTCCATTCCCATAGAGTTTGTTCTCTTCAACTTATATTTATTACTTATTTTTAATGAAATCAGATTAGATAAAAAAACAATTCTAGATTTAACTACAATTAGATATCCAGATCAGATAATATCGGAACTTATTCTAAGGGTGGTGATAGTCACACTCCACCCAAACACTAACTTCACTCTATTAGTTTCAAAATTATTTTTAATACTTATTTAAAAATAATATTTTTAACTAATGAACTCATATACAACATCTTACAATTTTAAGATTTTGATAAAAGTTCTAGTTTGAATCATAACATAATAATAGTTTAATAATAATTATTTTTTATTCTACTAAATATAGAGTATGTTTTAATTATTAAATATGATATCTTTTTAAAATGAAAGTTATAGTTTTACTAATAATTCACATTTATATAAATTTCTTCTCTTGAAAATAAATAAATGAAAATAATGATGAATAATTTTAAAAATTATACTCCATATAATATTTTTAAGCAAAATTTATACAACCATCTATATAAAATGATAAAATAACTATGTAGATTAAAAATGGTGAAATACATATTAGTATAATACTTAGAAAATAGAAGATTTTATACAAAATCAATGGTCATTCAATGTATTAACATGTAATTAATGAAAAATTAAAAGAAGAGGTGCCAAAGTTTTGAAATAAATGATGAATAAATTTAAACATTTTTATAATGATTTTTTAACATAATAATATTATGTATCTTCTTTGAATAATCACATAATAATATATCTGGGGTGTATTTAGTATTTTAACGGGTGTGACTACCATCATCCTTATTCTAATCAGACCAAAACCAACTAGATCAGGTGAAGAGAACAAACTCTAAGACCATGGGAAGATCTACATAATGGGATATGGGGGTAGTTGCTCTCAGTCAACTTTTTATTTTTAATATATAGTGTTAAAATAATATTTTTGTGGAAAATAAAAGAGAGCCCCCGTAAAAAAATTATTTGCCTCCAATGCCAAAAGAAAATTCTAGTTTAAAAGTAAAAAATAATCACTTAAATAAGATATACAAGTAACAACAATTGGGCTGTTGTTAGAACCCTTTTTAGTTTGGGAAAATTGTTAAGTTTTGGATTAATTCTTTGGTGTCTCTATCTTAGAACCCTTTTTCGTTTGGGAAAATTGTTCTCTTGTATCATAAACATTTAGAAAGACTTAAACTTGTGTTTTTGCTTTATTTGTGTTAAAGATTAAGAGTTCAATGTACATCTTAAATTTGCACTTCGTATCCTTCATCTTAATATGTATTCATAATATACGGACTAATTTTTTTCATTATTCTCCTAACTCAATTCTGTTTCATTACTTAAAATCGTTTAATTTGTGCATGTTCATTGAGTACTTACTTAGGAGTATGATTTATCGTTATGATTTTCGGGCCAAACAGAAACTTGATGAAGACAATCAATCATATATCAAGAGAAAAAAAAAAGAAAGAAAAAGGGAAAATGCATATTGTTGGCTTGTTCACAAAGTGTACAATTTATGAATCTCATCTTTAAAGTATGCCATAATTTTATCCCTCTTCAACTTAAGAGCTGCAGTGACCAAACCAGACTCAGGAGTCCATGGGTCTGGTAACAGCTTGATCCTTGCAGGGATCTCTGATCTCTCCAATCCTGCTGCTTTGCCTACCTGTACATTGCTAAGACATTTGAGCAATACGAGCGAAATACGAATTTATTAACGTCTGATCTGATTCTAGTAAAAGTTGTTTCTGATCAAATTTCAATATGAAGAAGATGAAGAGAAGAGAGAGTCTTGGGAAGAGCGCAAAACCTCGTGTAGTGAATGTAAGATTTCCTTAACAACTTCGATTTCGTCGCAAAGATCGGAGAAACTTGTAAAGTGGATCTCATAATCGTCTGCCCAGTCTATAAGGACTCGGTGCGAAGGGACAATGAGAGCTACACAATAGCTGTGGAAGGGGTCTGCATGCACCAATATGTTGTCTACATATTTGCTTGCCCTTAGAACTGTCTCTACCTGGTATAACATACATATGAATTGAATGAATCCCTTATTGAGCTCACAAAAAGGACAAAAATGTAATTTAAGAGTTTATTTTGGAGGGTCAAAATAAAACCTTCATGTATACCTTACCTTTCCAAGTGAGATATATTCACCATGCTGAAGTTTTATAATACCCTTCTTTCTATCAATAATTTCAAGACACCCGTTACGGCGAAACCTCCCAATGTCACCGGTGTAGAACCACCGCATTCCCCTCTCATCAACCTGATGTATGATTGCAGTAAAATTGAAACAAGATCGATTTGTGATTCGACCATGGTCTTAACTCAATGAAGCAAAAGAAGGGTTTTTTAAAAAAAGTGCTTACATGGTAGGCCTCATTAGTTTCAAGATCATTGTTGAAATACCCGGCACTGACACTCCCTCCACCAACTACGATTTCTCCCCGTGGCATCGGTTTATCTGTTATTCTGTACCCTCCCTCTTCCCAAGACACCAACTGCATGCATTTTTAGCTCAAGAAAATTGTTAGAGTATATAAAACCTTTCATGTGCCTACAATCACAAACTTTAGCTTCTGGTTGAATTGACATGGTACCAGAACTTTGTTGACCAATAAAATTATTAATGTTCACGTGCAAGGCTAGAGGAAAAATAAATCTTGTCTCAATGTGAATTTGGTAGCCATACCTTTATGTAGGTGCAAGGGAGAGGCGGTCCGACGTGACCAACTGAAGTATCATCCATGTCGGACAAAGTTGCTCCGGCAAATGTTTCTGTCAAGCCATATCCTTGGCATATAAGAGCTCTATACATAAATACATGCATCAATTATATTGTTTTTAGAGGAAAAAAAAAGCACTAATTAGAAGGGATATTTCATTTTTTTTCTTATGTGAAAATCATAAATGCACAGCATGAAACAGAGAAAACTTTACCCAATGCAGATGTTGATAAACCTTTGTGTGTCTTGAGACAGAGGAGCTCCACCAGAAAGCATGAAGCGAATTCGTCCTCCGAGAACTTTTTGTATCTTTTCAAAAATTATTCTATCCCAGAGTCGAGTTTCGAGCCTGTCCCACATTCCAAACGAGCTTCCCTCCCAAGCTTCAACCCTGCGCTTATACGCAATGTTAAATAGTGTTTCAGTGTTGCCCCCCTTCTCCTCAACCTACATTATCAATTCATAAAATTTTTAGCCAAGCAAGGAACAGGCTCAACGAAAAGCTCAAACTTGTGATTTTATATAGGTCAGATTCGAACTCGTGACTCCTAGGTCAACAAGGTTTTGGTACCATGACAAAAAGCTGACTCAACCAAAAGTTCAAGCTTGTAGTTATTGAGATATGGCTATAGCAGGTAAGACCACCTGTTGTATAATTCCTTCTCTAACGTGATCAAGAACTGGAGGAACTGCAGCCATGAGTGTGGGCTTTAACACAGTTGCGTCGCCGCGGGTTCCATTCTTGATGTTACTGGATGTGTCGGTTAGTGTTGGTGTCGATCCATAGCCAATAGAAGCTCCTGCTGCCAACATCACAGTCTGCATTCAAGACAGCAGCAATGGCCCGATTAACATCAAACTAAACCAAACAGTCACATGCACTATGGAAGAAAGGGTGAAAAAAAGTGGTGTCACCTCAGCAGCTAGTTCGAAGACGTGTGCTTGAGACATGTAGGCCAAGTACACGTCTTTGGGTCCGAGATCAGGGACCACACTCATGACCGCCGCTGCAGTTGCTACAATGTTTCCATGGGTTATCATAACTCCCTGTAATCAATATCAAGACATCAAAATCTTTGGTGTGGGGGATGAGAAGTGAGACCAAAATCATACCCTTTAGTATGAGGCCTTTTGGAAGGAACCCAAAAACGAATCTGTGAGGGCTTGGCCCAGAGCGGACAATATCATACTAATGCAGGGTTGGAGTGAGGGTACGCGTGGTCCCAACAAAAACCATATGAGGGACTTGAACACTGACCTTAGGTGAGGTTGTGCTGCCACTGGTGTACATGATCACAGCAATATCACTCTTGATGGGTAACCTAGGATGAATGCTGCTACTTTTACCAAGTCCTTCAACTTCAGAAAATGAAGATATTTTCCAGTTCTCAAAATCCCCACAAGCTTGAAGATCACATTTAGTCCCATCATCATCATGATTGTCGTCCTCGTTGAAGTAAATGACGTTCTTGATTGTTTTCAAACTTGACCTCATTGCAGACAACTTCTTTAGTTGTTTGGTATCACATACCAATGTGGCCACTTCAGTCTTTAAAAAAACAAAAAGTACTTAGCCCATTAAACAAGATTAATTATTGGAATAAACCAAACATTTGTGTACTTAAATGCTCACCTCATTTAATGAGTACACAAAAGCCTCATCCCCTAAAAAAGCATTAACAGTTACTACTGTAATGTTTTGTCTGAAACAACCCTGAAAGTGATATATGCCCAAAATGAATGAATCTCAAAACAAGCACAAATAAAGAAACCATATCATTAGACATTACTCCCTCCCTTCTTTGTTAACTGTCGATTATGACTTTTATGATACATTGAGAAATGAATGAATGTAGACATACAGTATGTCTACATTCATTCAAATTTCAATGTATCAAGAAAGTCATTATAGACAGTTAATAAAGAATGAGGGGAGTAAGCTATAGCTACGAAATACAAACCTGAAAGGCAATCAGCCACTCGGGACGTGCATCAGAAAAGATAGCAACACGAGTGTCCACTTCGTGACCAAATTTTACAAGACCAGACGAAAAGTGGGAAACGCGGTCAAATACTTGACCGTAACTTTCCCACATGTACTCATCATCCAAGCGAAGATTCTCAAACCGTCGCCTTCTTCCAAGACAACGTTCTTGTGAGTGGTTTCGACACGACTGCGCGAAGAGATCTGCCACAGTCCTCACCCCTTCACATGGAACTTCAACCAATCTTGGAAATTCGGCATTGCGCATTGTAATTCCCATTTCGCCCCCGGCTTTCACGGGAACTCCTCTCTTCTTTGTCTTTCTCCTCTCCTCTAGTGCCAGTGAAAGCAACACCGGTATAAGAATGGACAAAATTACCCCGCAGGGTGTTATAGTAATGCCGCTCATGTGATTATTTGGAGTGCTTCCTTTAGAAATGTCCATATTATTGTTTTGGTGGCCAATGCAGCTGTTCTATATGATGCAATTCACCAAGCATTTATCCTAAAGCAAAAACAAGAGAACATATCAAATTTTCATTGAATTCCAATAACATTATTTGATCTTTCACCACTGGGTTCAAACCTGTGATCTTTCATTTGGAAGAGTAACAATCATGCGGCTCGACCACAATGTATATATCAACAAAATATTACTCAATAAACTCCCACAAATACACATAATATTGTCACTATAAATTGAAAATATGTCATAATATAATTTAATTCCTAATACTAGCATGCCTACAAAATATTTATGGAAAAATTAACGTAATGGAAAAAAATTAACAATTACTACAGATTCAATTTGAAAAAGATTTGTCATAAACCAAATAATCTGAGAAAACAAGCATTTGGGAAAAGAAAAAAAAAAAGTATCGTCATTCTGTTACCTGGTTTTCATAAAGAGAATCAATGGCAAGAGGAAATCATGATTTTCCCAAAGGGCGATTAACCTTTTTCTTTTCTTTGATTTCTTTTCTTTTCTTGGTAGGGAAATTGTTAAGAGAAAATGATTCAAGAATTTGGTTCATAATTTCCTTAATTTTCTGATTCTGTTTAGAGGTTTGTGCAGCTCGCTTTTAACATAAATTAAACCATTTTTTTAAAAGTCCACTATTTTTATACTCAGTATGTACTAAATATGACACTCTATGCTCCTTCGCAAAAAAAAAAACATTCTTTTTCTTTACCACACATTTGTAACCGATATTCACATTTTAAAGTGCAAATTTTACCATTATTACGATCATGATATTCAGATATTTCTTTTAACTACGGATATCATTGTTTTGGTTTTATGCAAAATAAAGCATCTTATAATTATTACTCCGTGATAATATCTCGTATTAGATATTTTGTATAATATTCTCGTTATATATTCTAAACTCCCTCCGTCTCAATTTAAATCGCTTGTTTACTATTCACAAGGTCAAACTTCATTCACTTTTTTTTATTTTCATTAATCATTTACTCCCTACGTCCCGTTTTAAATCGCCTATTTTGACTTTTGGGCATATTTAAGGAAAATAAAAAATAGAGTTGATTTTTTGAAATTGTCATTACTTTTTAGGAGGGGTGACAATGAATGAGAAGATAAAGTGGAGAAGAGTGACTTATTTTAGGGGTAGTTTAGGTATTTTACTCATAAAAGTTTACGATAACAAGTAACAAGCAACCTATTTTTGAATGGAAAAAAAAGGCAAACAGACAATTTAAAATGGGACAGAGGAAGTAATAAAATACTCCGTAATATAATCATGTCACCAGCAATTTTGTAAATTTTTGATGTAGTTTTTAAATATGTAATTTTTATTTTTTTAACTCTTCATTGTTTTTTCATACTTCGTATAAAATGACTTAAAAATATTTCAATCAAACATCGTAAAAGGCAAACATACAATTTAAAATGGGACAGAGGAAGTAATAAAATACTCCGTAATATAATCATGTCACCAGCAATTTTGTAAATTTTTGATGTAGTTTTTAAATATGTAATTTTTATTTTTTTAACTCTTCATTGTTTTTTCATACTCCGTATAAAATGACTTAAAAATATTTCAATCAAACATCGTAAACTGAAACACGTGATTTAAATTAGGACGGAGAGTAATGTTTTTAAAAATACAATGTGCAAGCCAAGTTGAACATCACCTCTCTCCAGAAAACACTCATTTCTTGATGTGATTAGAAAATTAGAAAGTGGATAATTTAAAAAAATAATTACAAACTACAAAAATTTTAGTGATAAATAAAAGATAATTTAATTTGTTCCAAAATTTTACCCAATATTTTTTTCTAAAAATATAATAAAAAGTATTTTTGTAAGATTTACTTTTTACTAGTATGAATTACTCTATACTACGTAAAAGATTAAAATTTTGAATACCTTTTCCACATTGTACGTAGTTTTTTCAAGTTCTAATAAAAATGATCATAATATTTACTCTTTCAATTCTAAAATATTACACTATCAACACAAAATTTTCTTATACTAATATTTATCTAATTTTAACTAATTTTAATTTTAATATTAACTAACTTTCTTAGAATATACTTCCATCCTTAAGTATTTATCTAATTTTAACTTTTTTCAATCAATCATATTCAACATTTAACCGTAAAATATACTCCCTCCGTCCCATTTTATAACGCCTGTTTCGGTTTACGATGTTTGACTGAAGTTATTTTCAAATCATTTTATATGACAAATGGTATAAAGTTAAAAAATAAAAATTACATATAAAAAACTACATCAAAAAATCAACACAACTAGTAGTAACAACAATATTTTATTTTATCAAATTACTAACAAAAATAGAGAAAGAAAATAAATGATATTTGATCCTGTGAATAGTAAACATGCATTATAATTTAGGACAAAGGAAATATTATTGAGTACATATTAACTAGATAAAATAATATTTAGAAAATATTTCTTATAATACATCTAATAAAATTTTTTTTAAATCCCCTAATATCATTTTTATTAAATTTAAAGTCTAAGCTAACCAATTTTGATTTAAAAAATCAAAAACAGACAAAAAAAAATCACGAGCATGAACCAAAATACTCTACTCCGTAAAAAAGAAATATTTACAAAAAAATCAACTGACAATTTTTATTCAAGAAATCATTCTGGAATAAGTTAATGGTGATATAATTATTTTATATTCAGTTGAACAATTTTGTAAATCAGCAAGTAATACACAGTGACAATAAGGATATACCCAGTATATATATCTACGAGCAAATCAATATCATACAACACTGTAACAAAAAATTCATACAACATGAAAACAATTTCAGACATAAAAAATTTCGAAAAAAAAAACAATAATTCACAATATCGTGGTAGCCAAATCTTCAACTACAAAGCCCTCCCCCATCCCGTAGAGGGCGGAGGGGGCAGTTGAAGAAACATAAATCGTTAGTCAGCCGTTGCTCAACCCTGCAATCATGAAGGATTAGAAGAAAAGAAGACGAGAAAGAAGAAGCTTATAGTGCCAAGGCTGGTAAAAGCTCAATCAACCGCAGTTCACTTGGAAAAAAGTATCTAAATTAGTCTTAGAACAAGTCTTACTGTCTTAGTACATCTAAACATAAGTTTGTCCTTGAAAATGTTTCAAGAAAGTAAAGGTTGCAGTTTATGTAGATGAGGGAGAGATACTATGAAAATGAAACCTTATCTTCATGCTTACTGAAACTCTGAGATCAATGGGCACTGAAACCCTATACGTAAAAAGGGTGTCTAAAGTAACCACACGGTAGTTAACCGAAGCCATGAGATCCCAAAGAACATCTAACAGCCCCATGTTCTACGAAGAAAAAATGGAGTACTTAAACTTACAAGCCTTGCTTAGGATAGCTAAATAAAGCCACAATATCACAACATAAATAGTACTTAAATGTCTAAGGAATCCACCTAAGAAATACAGTCAAAACAGCCTCTCCAGTGAGTTCTAACCGACTCAATACTTCATTGCAGAAGGAACGTCTAACTAGTAGACAGACAAAGCACATGCGCTACCATGAAAAACATCTAAAAACGAGGTTCATCTAGGACACAAACAGATTGAAACAAACACTATGGTTCCTCCACTGTTACAGCATATCCCTTTGCTAGTGCTCTGAATATCTACTCTCGACTTGATAGGGTTGCAATAACCTGAGTGGGATCTCATCTATGGTGAAGGCTTGCTTAATAGAACCACCTACCTGGCATAAGGATGATAACGACCACCGCCACTATAGCCTCCCCTACTTCCATATAAGCCTGCTGGTCCACCATAACCAGCACCAGGACCAGAATCATAACCGGCACCTGCACCAGCCCCACCAGCCCCACCATAACCTCCATAACCACCTCCACGCCCATAACCACCTAGCCCACCAGTACCATAACCCCCACCATAGCCGCCACCCCCACCACCATAAGAGCCAAAGCGACTAGAGTAGCCACCGATTGGAGGCTCTCCCCGGTACCCAGCAAATTCACTAGGGCCATAGTCACCATAGCGACTCCCAAATTCACTGGCAGGATATGGATAATCACCAAACCTACCTCCAAGACCACCACCAAAAGACCTATAAGGGGCAGCAGGGCCAAAGCCTCCACCACCAAAACTGCTATAAGAACTGTCAACTCCACCATAGCTATCGCCATAACCACGACCCCTAGTGTTACTACCATAAGCGGGAGCAGGTGCAGGGTTTGAGGGTTTCTTTGGTTCTGCTTTCTTGATTTCAACCTACAACAAAGAAGCAAGTTAACCTAAGTACTTCACCTGCCATGTAAGTGATAGTGATGCTCTAAACGTAAGTGATGCACTTAATGTAATGCTGCACCGAATCACTTAAGTATGAGTTCTACATACAAAAGACTGGCACTATTAGAATTTTTAAAAGCTAATCCTCTCATAAGCTAATTCATTGGAGAAGCTATGTTGTAAAGTTGAATACCATATCATATGTAAAATCAGTGTGTGTGTGTGTAAACTGTCAACAGATATAGCATCCACACACTCACCTGGGTACCCATCATATCAATCTTTTTACCCTCAGCCATTATAGTGTCAACTACTTGCTCATTGTCAAACACAACAAATCCAAAGCCTCTGGACCGCTTTGTGTCATGGTCTCTTATTATTTCATGTTCAGCCACTTTCCCAAACTTGGAGAAGAAATCCTTGAACTCATCTGCACACAAGATGGCACGGCATGAGAAAACAGTGTACATGCACCCAAGTGATGCATCATATACTAATCAAAATGAAATAGCAGATCTATAAAATTATCAAGACAAGATACTTGACCAAAATTGTCTTTACCTTCAGATATGGAAGTAGGAATGCCTCCAACAAAGATTTTCTTTGTCTTGAAATCCTTAGATTCAGAGGATCCTTTGGGAATGGTTCTCTTTATCTCAACCTGATAAAGACAACAGATTATCTCTCAGATATCTCAACCCCAAAAAGTCACAGACCGCAGCGTTCAAACTCAAATTTTAAATTATACAACAATTTTTTTATAGGGTACAATAAGCTCAGATTCACGTAGCAAAAAATGGGATTGATCTATGTTCTGTAACAGATTTTACAATCAACTGCTATGAAAGAAAATATCATCACTTTGCTCAAGACTGTACCGCCTTCAACCATTTGCATATAAGAAGTTAAGAACACAAGAAATATGAAAATGTCATGTAGTATGATAAAATCTCACTTGTTTGTCATTGATTATATGAGTCTCAGCAATAACAGTGTCAACAACAGAGGGATTTGCATATGTAATGAACCCAAATCCCCTGGGTCTTCCTGTGTTGCGTTCTTTCATGATAACAGAGTCGGTTATTTCTCCATACTTCCCGAAGTACTTCACAAATTGATCTTTTTCAGTGGAAAAAAAATCAAGATCACAAAACCATCAGCAAAAGCAATCGCAATCCACAAAAAGAATCAAACAAAGCAACCTGAAAACTAACCTAATGTTGTATCTTTCGCAAGACCTCCAATGAAGATTTTTCTGCATCATAATAATAAATTCCCTAATC